CTGTCTGTATGGAGTTTGCACATCCTCCCTATTTCTGCACAGGTCCTCTCCAGGTGTTCTGGTTTTCTCCCACAGTCCAAAAATGTGCAGGTTAGGTGGATTGGCCATGCTAATTTACCCATAGTGTCGAGGGATGTGCAGGCTAGGTGGATTAGGGTTATAGGTAGGGAGTGGATCTGGATGGGATGCTCTATGGAGGTTGGTGTTATCTTGATGAACCAAATGGCCTGTATCCACACTAGATCAAAGCTGGGAACTAAATATTCAGGGGAATGTGATTGTTGAAAGGTGAAGTGTGGAGAGGGGTAGGTGTGTTAGTACTACGGGATAGAATAAGTGTGATAGCAAGAAATGATCCTCGATCAGAAAATGTAGAATCCTTGTGAATCATAGAATCCCTACAGTGCTGTAAGATGCCATTCGGCCCATTGAGTTTGCACTGAATCTCTTAAGAGTATCCCACTCAGACTCAACCCCTCCATTCTATCCCAGAACCCCACATTTAGCATGGCTAACCCACCTTTCCTGGACACTAAAGGGCAATTTAGCACAGCCGATCCACCTAACCTGCATTTAGAAATACATAAGATAATCAAGCAGACTGCGTATGGCTTCCAACCAGGGAGTAGTGAGGCAGGTTTAATAAATTATTCATAGTAAAAGATCCATTGGGAAACAGTGATCAAAGCAGAATTTAGCATTCAGTTTGACAGCAAGGAATTTGGGTTGGAAACAACTTTGCTAAACTTAAATACAGCTAATTACAAAGGAATGAGAGCAGACCAAGTTGGAGTGGATTAGGAAAGGAGTTTAGCAGTAAAGATGGTTGAGGAACAATAGCAGACTTTTAAGAAAATAGTTAATGGTTCGAAAATATATATTTCAATGAGAAGAGAGAATTCTAGGAAAGGGATAAGCCAACTATGATTAACTAAGGAAGTTAAGCTTAGCATCAGATTAAAAAAAAACATACAATGTGACAAAGATAAGTGGAAAGTTTAAAAAGGCCATAAGATATAGGAGCAGAATTAAGCCATTCAGCTTTTTGCATCTGGTCCACCATTTGATCACAACTGATGTGTTTCTCAACCCATTTCTCCTGCCTACTCCCTGTAACCCTTGATCCCGTTACTAATCAGAACCTATGTATCTCTGTCTTAAATACATTCAGTGACTTGACCTCCACAGCCTTCTGCAGCAATGAGTTCCCTGGAGTCATCACCCTCTGGCTGAATAAATTCCTCCTCATCTCAATTCTAAAGGGTCTTCCCTTCACTCTGTGGCTGTGTGCTCGGGTCCTAGTCATAGAGTCATGCAGCACAGGAACAGACCCTTCGGTCCAACTCGGCCACACTGACAAGAATCCCAATCTGACCTCGTCCCATTTGCCAGCATTTGGCCCATATCCCTCTAAACTCTCCCAATTCATATATCCAGCCAGATGCCTTTTAAATTTGTAATTGTACCTGTCTCCACCATTCCTGTCACAGTTCGTTCCATACATGCACCACACTCTGCATGATAAAGTTACCCTCAGATCCTTTTTTAAATCTTTCCCCTCTCACCTTAAACCTATGGCCTTTAGTTTTGGTACTCTGAGGAAAAGACTTTGGCTATTCACCTTATCCATACCCCTCATGATTTTATAAACTTCTATAAGGCCACCCCTCAGCCTCTTTCCTACTGATGGAAACAACTTCTCCATGTCCACTCTATTCAGGCTTCTCTGTATTCTGTAAATTTCAATGAAATCCCCCCTTCGTCCTTTTAAACTCCATTGAGTACAGACCCAGGGTCTTTAATCCCTCCTCATATGACAAGCCCTTCATTCCCAGGATCATTCTTGTCAACTTCCTCTGGAACCCCTCCAAGGCCAGTACATCCTTCCTTGGATATGAGGCCCAAAACTGCCCACGATATTGTATACTGCACCATTTAAGTGGAACACGCTCAATCCTGCATTGACCGACCCCTTCTCATAGTTGTCCCTTATCTGCTGTACGTGAAATCAGATTCCTGACTGTTACCAAACTCTCTGTCCTATGGCTTTTTCTGAAAACTTTAATAATCTCTCCCGAGCCCTCCTCCCTTAAACGATTTTCGTAATTTTCCGTGTAACTGAAACACCTGCACCCTTCCCCAACTATTTATTTTAAAGCCCTATCTCCAGCCCGAGTTAAACGATTCACCAGGACTCTGGTCCCAGCACTATTTGGGTGGAATCCATCCCATTGAGACTGCTCCCTCCTTCCCTGGTACTGGTACCAATGTCCCATGAATTTGAACACATTTCTTCCATATCAGTCTTTGAGCCACAAAGCTCAAACTGGCAGCATAGTGGCTCAGTGGTTAGCACTGCTCCCTCACAGCACCAGGGACCTAGGTTCAATTCCAGCCTCGGGTGACTGTGTGGAGTTTGCACATTCTCCCTGTGTCTGTATCAGTTTCCACTGGGTGCTCTGTCCTCTTCTCACAGTCCAAAGATGTGCGGGTTAGATGGACTGGCCATGCTAAATTGCCTCATAATTAGCCATGGGAAATGCAGGCTTTCAGGGATAGGGTGGTGGAATGCTCTTCAGAGGGTTGTTGTGGTCTCGATGGGCTGAATGGCCTGCTTCCATACCGTAGATATTCTATAATTCAAAACCAACCAAGTATGACCAGGAACAAAAAAGGGAGAAGATAAACTTGCAAGAAATATCAAGATGCTCAGTAACAGCTTCTTTAAATATATAACAAAGAGGAGACAGGTCAAATGAATATAGGCCCCCTCTGAAAACAAGGCTGGGGAACTAATGGGGAACCAGGAAATGACAGAGGAGTTGAACAAATAATTTGCAATAGTCTTCACAGGAGTGGATAACAATACTAAATAATTCATGGGCTAAACAGGAAATGAACACTAACTACCACTCAAGAAACATTTATTGGGAAACTAATGGGACAAAGACCAATAAGTCCCCTGAACCTGATGGGATACATCTTACGATGTTAAAAGAAGTAGCCGCCAATATAACAGATGCACTAGAATCCTTGGATTCTGGAAAAATGCCAGAGAATTGGAAAACTGCCAATGTGAGACCTTTATTCAAAAAGGACAGAGACAAAAGAAAAATCAGGTAACTATAGGCCAGTGAGCTCAATATCTGTTGTTGGAGTAAAGTTCAAATCTATTATAAAGGATGTTATAGCAGAGCAGTTAGAAACACATAATACAATCAAGCAGAGTTCTAATGGCTTCTTGAAGGGGAGACAATGCCTCATAAATTTATTAAAATTTTTGAAGAGGTAACAAGCAGGATAGATAAAGGGAAACCAGTGGATGTAATATATTAGTCTTATGAGGACAGGTTAAGTTGGTTGTGCCTGTACTCACTGGAATTCAGAAGAAGGCTGTATCCACTTACACCCAAGAGTATGCACCATGGTAGTAGTAAATGTCAAACATATTTGAAAAAAATGATACAAAGCAAGCAAACAAAATTGAAAAGAATGTAATTAAAACATATACTTGTACATGTAAAAAATTATAAAGCAAAGTAGACTCTTTTGTCAATTTTTCTTAAATTGGCTTTTTTATTGCATACACACACAGATAGAGTAATAAAAAATGGAGATAAACATGTGCAGCCAGCAATTCTCAATGGATCATTGGCGTCAGTAAACACTTCATTAGATGCATGAGAGGCAATGTTATTGAAACAGACAAGATGCATAGAGGGCTGTACAGGGTAGATATGGGAAAGTGGTTTCCCCTTATGGGAGAGTCTAAGACCAGGGGCATAAACTCAGAATAGGGGGTCGCTTGTTTAAGACAGAAGAGGAATTTCTTCTCTCAGAGTTTAGTGAATCTGTGGATTTTCTTTTAACCACAGACGGCTATTGAGGCTGGGTCATTAAGTATATTCCAGGCTGAGATGGACAAATTTTTAATCAGTAAGGAATCAAGTGTTATGGGGAGGAAAGTGTGGGAGAGGAAAGTGGAGGCAGGGAAACGGAGTTGAGGATTATCAGATCATCCAGGATTACACGGAGTGTCAGAGCAGGTTTGATGGGCCAAATGTCCTACTTCTGCTTCTGTGTCTCATGGTCTTAACTACCTTTTTGACTACACATGGAGTACCATCTACATATATGACATTTCACTCAAGAAAAGGAAATGGAGGGATTGGAGAAGACATTGGAGAAGGTGCAACACTGATTCACAGGAGCTGACAGCATTAACACGCAACTCAAGAAAGGTTGAACAGGCTAGGGCATATTTCTCAAGAAAAGAGAGGATTGACAGGTGACTTGATGGCAGTCTTTAAGATTATAAAGGGGTAGAATAATATGACTGGGAAATCATGAGAAAAAGCCTCTTTCACAGTGAGTGGTGAGCGTGTGAATATTGCTGGACAGCCAGTAGTTCTTTTGAACAAAATGAGCACATTTTAGCTGAAGCTAGATATCTATGAGGGAGAAAGGAATAGATAGATATGCTGATGGGGAGAGAGTGCCTGGGGCTCAGGTGGAGCACAAATACTGACATAGGCCAAAGGAGCTGACTGTACTGGCCTGACCCCAAGCTGCAGAGTCAATTGATCAGGGCCAAAAATCTACATTTACTTGTAGAGGTAGGAATAACACTATTTAACAAAATAAATGTAGTCCATCAGCTTTTGCGGATCAGTTCAGTGGAAATGTGCACTCCTAGGCTCAAAGAGCCCCACTGGAAGTAAAGCAGTGAGACCAATCATTCCAGCTGAAGGAAACCCTTTGAGTCTCTTACTTTCAGAATGAACATGGTTCAATCCCGCGTGTAATTAACAGCAACAGCAGAATCCACTCCCTGTAAGCACTTGTGAACTCGCTGATGTCTCAGCAGGCTAGATAAATGAGAGAATCCATTCCCACACTCAGAGCAGGTGAACAATTTGTCCCTGGTGTGAACTCGCCAGTGTCTCCGCAGACTGGATGACTGACTGAATCTCTTCCCACAGACAGAGCAAATGAATGGCCTCTCCCCAGTGTGAATTCGCTGGTGTGTCAGCAGAGTGGATGAATCTCTGAATCCTTTCCCACAGTGAGAGCAGACAGACGGCCTCTCCCCAGTGTGAACTCGCTGGTGCATCACCAGATTGCAGGACTGAATGAACCCCTTTCCACACACTGGGCAAGTGAATGGCCTCTTCCCACTGTGTACATGCTGGTGTGTCAGCAGGTGAGCTAACTGAGTGAATCCCTTCCCACATTCAGAACATGTGAACGGTCTCTCCCCAGTGTGAACTCTCTGGTGTGTCAGCAGATTGGATGACTGAGTGAATCCCTTCCCACACTCAGAGCATGTGAATGGCCTCTCTCCAGTGTGAATATGCTGGTGGGTCAGCAGGGCAGATGAGTCACTGAATCCCTTCCCACACTCACAGCAAGTGAATGGTCTCTCCCTAGTGTGAACCCGCTGATGCATCAGCAAGTTGGACGACTGAGTGAATGCCTTCCCACACTCAGAGCAGATGAATGGCCTTTCTCCAGTGTGAACTCGCTGGTGTGTCAGCAGGTGAGATGAATTACTGAATCTCTTCTCACACTCAAAACATGCGAACGGCCTCTCCCCAGTGTGAACCCGCCGGTGTTTTAGAAGGGAAGATGACTGAGTGAATGCCTTTCCACACTCCGAGCAGGTGAACGGCCTCTCCCCAGTGTGACAGCGTTGATGTGTTTCCAGCGCAGATGGTGTAGAGAATCCCTTCCCACAGACCCTACATTTCCACGGTTTCTCCATAGTGTGAATGTCCTTGAATCTGTCTGGCTTGGACAGAAGCCAATTAAAGCCTTGTTCACAAAGAACACATGCTCAGTCAATGTTTTTTCCAGGATGTGCAACTGGTTAAAGCTCTTTCCACAATTAGTTCACTGAAACACTCTCACTCACGCTGTGTAACTGATTAAAGCAGTGCACTGGAATACCTTAACTCAGGTGTATGTGCTTGTTGTAATGCTATCCTAGTCATGCTGATATTTAAAATATGTTTAAGCAGGCAGAACATTTTAAACAATTGTCTTTCAAATTACAAGCTTGATTATATTCAGGTCCTGATGAGTTCTGTCAGTCCTTGTGATGTTTGGTTTGAGTTTCCTGTTTGAAAACTGTTCCTTCTGATGACCTGTGAAAGGAGTTACAAAGGTAAGTACTTTAAATAGAGAATAGCAATGTGGAAGTGACAATTCTTGACTCTGTGGGACATTCTTTCCTCTCTGCTTCTCCTGAAGCTGTAATTCTCCATATGAAACACTCTCCCTTCATTCTCATTGTGTCATGACTGATGTACACCCTCATAATTCACCAACACTACTGGTTCATGCTGACTAACAAATTCATTCTTACTATTTCATCTTTAGGACACAGAGACCTAAATATTTTTCAGGTATGCTGCTAGCCATATATTTTCACCTTTAGTAGACAAAAAAATACACATAATACACAGGACCATACTTCTTGATCAAATATACAGAGACAAGAGGAAGAACTTTATACAGGTAGTGAGAGTCATGAACATGTAGCATACAAGGGGTGCCAATTAGTAATTCTACAATGAAATTAGTTGCTCACTTCAAGGAAAAAGAGAGTGCAGGGCAATGGGGATATAGAACAGAGGAGTAGATTGCTAAGACTGGATTGCCATAAAGAGTCAGTCAGCTTGGATTCAACTTGCTAAAGGGGTTTTTTTTTGGTGTTAGAATGACTCAATGACTGGACAATAAGATGTAGGGGCCGAAGTAGGCTAGTTAGCTCATCAAATCCGTTCTGCCATTCAGTGCAATAATGGCTGTTTACGATCGCCTGGGGGAAACTATCCATTTTACTGTGAACATTAGAAAAAAGGCCATTCTTTGAGCCAGACAAATGAATATGTCACTCTGAGAAAGTAAAAGATGACAATGTCTTTGGGAGAGACCTGGACCAACCTTTCCAGAGTCTGCACCCTTCCTGGATGCACTTCCTCTTCAATTCCAGCAAACGAACAATCTAACCCCAATTTGACAGTAGAAGCAGGAAAGGCAAGACAGTGGAAATCTCTTGACTGATGAGGGAGCCAGGAGAACTTTTCACCTTAGCTATTCGCACAAAGTTATCTCACCTGATTGGTTGTAGGATCAGAGAGTCTTTCCGATCCTCCAGCTCCTTCTGGACAACGAGACAACGGAACCCAACGCCACGTGATGTCCTGTGCCGTTGGCCAATAGGAAAGGTCTATCCCGTGACATGCGTAGCGCTATGTTCGTATTTGCACATGCGCACTCCTGAGTCACACACTCGTGCGGCTGATAGAGTGGTTTCTCCAGCGCGGGGACTCGTGGGAAGCAAGGCCGAAACTCCACAGCTGAAGTACAGTCTCTGAACGCCTAGGTACTTGGAAGGGAAATGTTGTTTTCAAAAGGAGACGATCTGCAGCAGAAAAAAACAATGCTCAGGGTTCTCTATGCTTATCTATTTCGGTCGGAAATCACACATCACCAGGTTATAGTCCAGCAGGGTTATTCGAAAACACAAGCTTAAGGAGTTTTACTCCTTCTTCAGGTGTTAATGAGAGAGGTAGCATCAGACACAGAATTTATAAGTAAAAGAGCAAAGATTCACACCATTGATGAATATCTAAACAAACCTAAGATGCTGTTAAATCTTTAATCAGTTAGAAGGTTTTAATTGATTAATATGTATATGTAAATTTCCGAATTCCTTTCAATTCATGGTCCTGAGAAAAATAAACGTTTTATCAGTGTAAAGAAGAGGTGAAATTTTAGGTCAGACAATGCATGTTAGGTGTGAGGTCTTGTTTAGAATCTGTTTGTGTTTTAGTTTGGAATCAGACTGGTTTTATTTTTAAAGTGGGAATTTACAAAACACCACATTGATTGATTGTCTTAAATTGTGTGCTTTTTGAAAAAAAATGTATCTGCAAAAACAAATTCACTTCATAGATTCACGTGTGTGTGTGGGAGAGAGAGAGAGAGTGAATGTGTGTGTGTGTGAGGGAGAGAGTGTGTGTCTGTGTCTGTGTGTGAGGGGGAGAGAGAGAGAGGATCAGTGTTTTTGTGTGTGTATGTGTGTGAGAGAGAGAGAGAGAGACAGTGTATGAGAGAGGATCTGTGTGAATGTGTGTGAGAGTGTGTTTGTGTAATTGTGTGTGTGTGAGTGTATATTGTGTGGTGGGGTCACCTGTAGTGTGACATGAACCCAACATCCCGGTTGAGGCCGTCCTCATGGGTACCAAACTTGGCTATCAGTTTCTGCTCAGCAACTCTGCATTGTTGTGTATCCTGAAGCCCACCTTGGAGGATGTTTACCTGAAGATCCGAGGCCAAATGTCTTTGACCGCTGAAGTGCTCCCGCACTGGGACGGAACATCCTTGTCTGGCAATTGTTATGCAGTGTCCATTCATCCATTTTTGTAGTGTCTGCATGGTTTTGCCAATGTACCATGCCTCGGGGCATCCTTGCCTGCAGCATATGAAATGGACAACATTGGCTGAGTCGCATGAGTATCTGCCATGCATATGGTGGGTGGTGTTCCCACATGTGATGGTAGCATCCATGTCGAAGATCTGACATTTCTTGCAGAGGTTACCGTTATAGGGTTGTATAGTGTTGTGGTCGATGTTGTCCTGAAGGCTGGGTAGTTTACTGAGTACAATGGTCTGTTTAAGGTTTGGTGGTTGTTTGAAGGTGAGAAGTGGAGGCATGGGGAAGATCTTGGTGAGGTGCTCATCATCATTGATAATGGGTTGAAGGCTGCAAAGACTATGGTGTAGTTTCTCTGTCCCTGGGAAATACTGGATGATGAAGGGTACCTTATTGGACGTATCCCAAGTCTGTCTTCTGAGGAGGTCATTACGGTTTTTCACTGTGGCACATTGGAACTGGCGATCAATGAGTTGAGCATCATATCCTGCTCCTATGAAGGTGTCCTTTAACATCTTCCGGTGTCTGTCTCATTCCTCCTCATCCGAACAGATTCTGTGTATGCATAGGGTTTGTCTGTAGGGGGTGGCTGTTGTAAAAAGTTTCAACGGAAGCTAGAGAAGTGCAGAATCGTGAGGTTATCCGTAGACTAACAGTAGAGTAATGTACTGAGGTGTCCATCTTCTATTTCGGACCTTTTGAATATCCTTGTTTATGATTCCAGTGATGGTGTCTGTGCCAAGAAGGAAATTCCAGAATTCCATCCCAAAACCTCTCCAGCTCTTTCATTTGATTTTTTCCCTTTCATACACTCTTTAACACCTATCATTTTAACCAAGCTTTTCATCATTGTAGAATCCCTACTGTATGGCAACAGGTCATTCACCCCAACAACTCTCCAAAGAACATCCCACCCTGACTCACCCTGCCCATTCCTGTAACCCTGCATTTCCCATGGTTAGTCCACCCAACTTAGACATCCCTGGACACTATGGACAATTTAGCATTGTCAATCAACCTAACCTGCACATCTTTGGACTGTGGGAGGTACCAGAGCACCCGGTGGAGACCCACGCAGACAGTCACCAAGATGGGAAATGAACCAAGGTCCTTGACACTGTAAGGCAGCAGTGATAACCACTGAGCCACCGTACCACTCTAATCATCTGCACTTACAGCCCCTCCTGTGTCTCAGCTTTAAACTCTCATAAAACACTTGGCAATGTTTTATTTAATCAAAGACCCTATTTAAATGCACTCTGTTGCAGATTTGGACATATATTGCTACAGTTTCATTGCTGGTTGGCAATCCTGTAGATCCTTACCTAAACAGCATTGTGGAAGTATATACACCACAGGAACTGCTGTGGCTCAAGAACAAACTGATCAACAATTCTTTTTTTATTCATTTTTATTCTTTTATACAGTTGTGGGATGTGGACATCGTTAGCTGGCAGCATTTATAGCCCAACGATAGCTGCCTTTGAGAAGATTGTGGTGAGCTGGCTTCTTGAATTGCTGTACACCCACAATACCAGCAGGGAGGGAATTCCAGGATTTTGACCCAGCAACGCTGAAGGTATGGCAACATATTTTCAAGTCAAGATGATGAGTGGCTTGGAAGGAACTTGCAAGTGTGGTGTTCCCATGTATGTGCTGCCTTGTGCTTCTAGATGGAAGTGCTCGTGGGTTTGGAAGGTGCTCTGTAATGATCTTTGGTGAATTTCTGCAGTGCATCTTTTAGATCCTACATAATGTTGCTACTGAGGAGGTGGTGGAGGGACAGGATTTTGCGTATGTGGTGTCAACCAAGCAGGCTGCTTTGTCCTGAATGGTATCAAGCTCCTTGAGAATTGTTGACCACTTGGGACTGATAATACATTCCAACCCTGCTAATGACTGTCATAATCCCATAATTAGTTGGAAGTATCTGCATATATTATCTGCATTAAAAGCTTCTACAAAAATAAATGTTGCCAGTGGGTGCCAACAGTTTTGACTACATCTCAATAGCTGCTCATTCTGGTCTTCTCCATGCACTGTGGATACTGGGCCTGTATAGTCAATCTTCCATGTTCCCCAGGGCTTTCATTAAAATGGGAACTTTGATTTCATAGGCCTGGATTAATTTGGGCAAAAATGAGGCACAGTTACAGATGGCAATAGACAAACTGGTGCCTCCTCAGTCATCAATGTTAATAATGTGAAATTGTGGGGTTATATGGTCATATGAAATAGGAACAGGAGAAGGCCATTCAATCCATTGAGCCTATTCTGCCATTCAACAGGATCAGGGCTGATCTGACATTCCTCATGTCCTCTTTCCTGTCCTTTCCCCACAGCCTTGATTGTCCGAACTGACCAAGAATCTATCTCAGCCTTAAATACACACAATGACTCTGCCTCCAGTTCTCTGTGACAAGGAGTTCCAAAGACTCAGAACCCTCTGAGAAAAGAAATTCCTCCTCATCTCAGTCTTAAATTGGTGCACCTTTGTTCTGAGACTATGTTCTCTGATCCTTGACTCTTTCATGAAGGGAAACATCCTTTCAGCATTTAATCTGTGCAGACACTTAAGAATCCTACAAGTTTCAATCAGATCACCTCACATTCTTCTAAATTCCAATTAGTACAGTCCAAACTGGTTTAACGTTTGCTCGTAAGACAATCCCTCCATACCAGGGCTCATCCTAGTGGACAATCTCTGAAGTGCCTCCAATGAAATAACATCTTTTCTTAACTAAGGAATCTTCCCAGTGGATAATGGTGATTTTAAATCACTAGGAGGAATGAAGGCTAGCAGAGCGGGCATGTGCTTTTTTTAAAATTCACTCACAGGACATGGGCATTGCTGGCTGGGCCAACATTTGTTGTCCATCCCTGCTGCCCTTGAGAAGGTGATGGTGAGCTGCCTTCTTGAATAGTTGCAGTCCACATGCCGTAGACCTACAATGCCATTGGGGAGGGAATTCCATGATTTTGACTGACAATGAAGGAACGGTAATATATTTCCAAAGAAGGATGTTGATTGGCTTGAAGGGGAACTTGCAGGTGGTGGAATTCCCATGTATGTGCTGCACTTGTGCTTGTAAATGGAAGTGGCCCTGGGTTTGAAAGGTGCTGTCTAAGGACTGCTGATGAATTTCTGCAGTGCATCTTGTAAATGGAACATACTGCTGCTACTGAGCATCACGAGTGGAGGGAGTATTTATTTGTGGATGTGGTGCCAATCAAGTGGGTTGTTTTGTCTTGGATGATGTCCAAGCTTATTGAGTGTTGGTTGAGCTGCACTCATCCAGGCAAGTTGAGAATATTCCATCACACTCCTGACTTGTGCCTTGTGGACAAGCTTTGGGGAGTCTGGAGGTGAGTTACTCGCTGCAGTATTCCTAGCTTCCGACCTGCTCTCTATTTTTGAATCCAGAAGTACTCTTACACACAACTGACGTTTTTTTTTCCAATCACTAAATCACCTGTGCTTTTTTTTCATCTATTAACCAGCACCAGTAAATCATCCGTGTTTCCAGTTGAAAAGTGACACAAAGCCCGCAACCCATCAAAGTTGAGAGGGAGAGGGCGAAAGGGCTAATCAAAATACATTTGGAAGGGGAGATAAGGAACTCTACCCCCTGCAGTCTGACCTACTCTTATAGTCGGCCATTGGATTAATGAACCTGCGAAATAAATTTATCTCAATCGGATGATAGATAATTTCCTGCCTCTCCGGGAAGGTGTCAATGCGTTGCGTGCCCCAGCGTTCCCCACGGTTGTCAAAATACTGAGGACACGCTTAAGAGAAAGGCGCGCAAGCTGGACGTAGTGCCGGACAGTAAATCTGGAGCATGCGCAATGTCACGTCGTTGCCGATCCGTGAGAGTGCGGAAAGCCGAAATGAGTGGGGGGAAGGCAGCAGTGCATGGAGCCGTAGGAAGATGCGCGGGAGGGAGGAGTGCAAACCTTTGTAAAAAAGCTGTTGGCGACCGCAAACGGATAAGAGCCTCTAAATCTGTCGTAATAATAAACTCCCCGCTGCTCAACCCAACGATAGCCATATTGGTTGCTCAGGTAGTCGCGCGCATGCGTGGTCGGACTCCCATCTGAGGAAGGGTCACCGGACCCGAAACGTTAACTCTGTTTTCTCCTTCACAGATGCTGCCAGACCTGCTGAGCTTCTCCAGCAACTTTGTTTTTGTCCCATCTGAGGTTCTCTTGACCAAGACAGTAATCAGTGACCCATTGATTCTCTATCTTCAAGCTGCACACAGGCTTGAGAACTGAACTGGGGCAGAGGAGAGGGAGGGAAGTAAATAGTTGCAGTATCATAGAGTCATACAGCACGGAAACAGACCCTTCAATTCATTCGTTCATTCGTCCATTCTGACCAGATATCCTAAATCAACCTAGACCTATTTGCTAGCATTTGGCACACATCCTTCTAAACTCTTCCTATTCACGTACCCATCCAGATGCCTTTTAAATGTCGTAATTGTGCCAACCTCCACCACTTCCTCTGGCAGCTCAATCCATACATTCGCCACCCTCTGCGTGAAAATGTTGCACGTTAGGTCCCTTTTAAATCTTTCCCCTCTCATCTTAAATCTATGGTCTCTGGTTTTGGGCTCCCCTACCCTGGGAAAAAGACCTTGGCTATTCACCCTATCCATGCCTCTCATGATTTTATAAACCTCTAGAAGGTCACCCCTCAGCCTCCAACGCTCCAGGGAAAATCAGCCCAGCCTATTCAGCCTTCCGCTACAGCTCAAACCCTCCAACTCCACCAACATCCTTGTAAATCTTTTCTGAAACCTTTCAAGTTTAACAACTTATAGTGGGGAGACCAGAATTGAATGCAATATTCCAAAAATGGCCTAACCAATGTCCAGTATAGCCATAACATAACATCCCAACTCCTACATTCAGTTCAATAAAGGTAAGTGTACCAAATGCTGCCTTCACTACCCCGATATCTGTGACTGTGGTGTCATTGGCTTGGTCAGGGAGGAAGTGTGTTTGTTGCAGAGACCATCAGATGTGGAGACTGTTGTATGACTAAAGAATAAGAATGTCAGAATTGGAAGAAAGATAGGCACACTTTAAATGGGAAAGGCAGGAGGCTAGAGGCTGCTGGGGTCTGGAATGCACTGCCTAGTAGGGTGGTTGAGATGGAAAACCTCACAATCTTTAAAGAGTACTCGGATAAACACTTGAAGTATCATAATGGTCAACGCTATGGGCTTAATACAGGAAGGCGGGACTAATATTTTTGGTGGTCCAAACTCAATTGCTCGAAGGAATTCAATTCTGTATTATTAGAGGTCACTTGTGCCAAGGATCCTGCTGCACCACTCAATAACATTATGGCTGATTTAGTTGTGGTCTTAACTCCACTTTTTTTACCATCTCCCTCACACCTGTGATTCCCTTATTGATCACAAATTGATCTTCTATATCCACCATTCTAGCCTTCACTGCTTATTGAAGAAAAAGAATTCCAAAGACTAATGACACTCAGAAGAATTCCCTCCGCATCTCAGTCTTAAATAGAGGACGCCTTACTTATCAACTGTACCCCCTAAATTTTCAATTTCCCCCATGAAAAGTAGCTTCCTCACAGTATTCATCCTGTCAAGCCCCAATGAGTGTTTGTGTGACTTGCTTAATATTTCATCATGAAACAAAGTCCATCATGTGAGTAATAGCCCAGTGACCCTTCTATCAATTGCTTTCAATTCAAGCATATCCCAGCTGTTAAATATTCCTGAGCGAAGCAGCAGGAAGAGACAATATTGTCAATTTTTGTCTAATTGTAATGGATTTTGCAAATTATTTATACAGAAGGGGAGCACTTCAGCACAGCAAACTCAAATGAGTCTGTCTTACCTGAATTTTGAAATTTGACACATAAATTATATCGCTGTCTTCAGAGTGTTGGAAGATAAGAATGAAATTTTTATCTGAGTCCAGTGCTTCTGATAGCTTTCCAGCCACAGCCTTGAAACAGTGGAATTGTCTTTGAGGTGAGTATTTTTGAACATTCATCTCCAATTTAGTGCTATGCTATTAAGATAGCTTTTATTTATTCCAGATTTTTATTGAATTCCAATTTCATCAACTGCATAAAAGTAGCCGGGGGTTCTGGGTTACTAGTCCAGTGACATTACCAATATGCCACCACCTCCCTGTCCTTTGCTGTGGATCTGAGTCAAAATCCATTCTGTTTTACTTCTGCCTTCCCAGATCATCTCTCTGCCAATGTCTGACTTCCTCTCCTTCTGATAATGGATGTCTTTTTACCACGTTCTGTATTTTGCTGTGATTTCTGCTGATTATATTTAAGTGAAGTTTCAACTGCTGCCCATTTCCAGTAATGTTCTGCTGATCTACCAGCTTTATGTTTGCATGATCAGGAATTGTCTTTCTTACACATTTTAGTTGTGCTTCTCAGCTTTTATCGATCACTAAATTCTGCACTATTTTAATTGCCATAATTGAAATGCTAACAGTTGTTTTCTTTTCACAGATACTGCTTGACTCGCTGTGTGTTTCCAATCAGTCAGAAATACATTAGGATAGTTGATTGAGATGGAGCAAAGGAATAGATAAGAATTTTAGCTGCAGATAAGGTGAAACCAGGATGGCGTTAGTCAGCATTACTGAGGTGGGAATAGGAAGTGTTGGTGATGACAGAGATTTGTGGTCAGAAGCTCGATTTAGGGTGAAGCAATGACACAGATGTTATGAACAGTCTGTTCCTCCACACACTCAGACAATTTCTGGGGAAAGGAATGGAATTGGTGGCTAGAGAGTGGAATTTGTACAAGACATCGAAGATGATGGCTCTCGTTTTCCCCCCCGCACCAAGATTTAATTAAAGGAAATTTCTGTTCATCCATCATTGACATGAGCCCTGTCAGGTTGGGGAACATAGAAGTGATGACTGTACAAATAAGCCTGTTTCCCAAGTCCATCTAGATATTAGATAGAGAACAGGATAACCCAGACACTCAAGAAACTTAAACATGAGAAATCACTAACACTGACGACGTCAGAATGAAACCAGATCACTAAAATATCCCTCACTTCTATGGACTTCCCAAGATACACAAACCTGGAATACCACTCAAACAATAGTCTTCCTACCGGGCACACCTACATACAAGCTAGTAAGGGAAATACAATGGAGATTTAAACACATGATTAGCAGATCCCCACACTCAATCCATTCGGCCCAAGACACAAAAAATAGATGAGGATGAAATCATGAGTTCCTTTGATGTTACAGCACTATTTATGGCCATTGACATAATGTTAGCCAGAGAGACACTAGCCACACTACTAGAAGGACCAGGAACACTGACCCTGAACACCATCAACAACATCAACAAGGACAGCTTACTGAAACCAGTAGAGTTATGCCTCGCAATGCACTTCACGTTCAATGACCAGATAAACAAACAGATCAATGGCACACCGATGGGATCACCCATCTCAGGCCTCATTGCGGAAGCAGTGATGCAGAGCCCTTCCTATAATCCAAATGAAACTGTGGATAAGATACGTGGATGACACATTTGTAATAATCAAAGGCACAAAAGTACATAAAACCCACCAACTTGTTAACAACATCTTCACAAGCATAAAATTCACTAGAAGGAAGAAAACAACAAACAGCTCCTGTTCTTAGTTTGTCTCTCTACCATTACATCTAACGGCAAATTCTGGACCCGAGTATACAGGAAGGCCACACACACGGACCAAATCCTGAACTTCAATAGCAACCACCTCACCATACACAAACAGAGCTGCATTAAGACACTATTTAAATGAGCCATATCACATTGCAACACCCCAGAACTCTGGAGAATGGAAGAGGAACACCTGCACAAAGTGTTTACTGACAATGGATACCCAATAAGTTTCATCCACAGATGCATACAAAACAAACGATGTTAGAAGACACGGTACAACAGAAGACACTAGTAACACTACCCCACATCAAAAATACATCAGAAATGACAACCAGACTCCTTAGACCGCATAAGATCATGATTGCACACAAACCTACATCAACGCCGCGTCAAATGCTATCAAAGACTAAAGACTCCATACTGACAGTAAACAGGACTAATGTGATATACAGAATCCCATGCAGTGAGTGCAATAAACATTACATTGGACAAACAGGGAGGAAACTAATGACCAGGATAAATGAACACCAGCTGGCAGTAAAAAGACGCGAACAATCTTCACTTGTCTCAATATTCACAGACAATGAGGGCCATCAGTTCAACTGGGACAAAGTGAGCTACAGACATGCAAGGCAATTTCTGGAAGCCTGGTTCTCAACAAGGGACTCCATTAGCATAGACGCAGAAATAGACCCCGTATACAGACCACTGCTAAAAAATGGAAATGACAAGACCCACCGCACCAGAGCATCATATAAGTTTGGAACAGAGCAGAACACCAATGCTTCGATTAGAGGTTGCATTGATGATGTTGCCTAGAATGGTAATGAATCATCTGCATACTATGGAACAACCGGCTCGGTGAACTAACGAACAACTGCATCCACAACCCGAGCTACAAATTTTTGCTGTGACATGATGAGCTAAAGGGTTTATCTGTGCTGTAGATCTCTGAGTATGCATTTGGTCTCCCCAGTGTAGAGGACTTGACATTGTGAGCAGCAAAAGCAGTGGACTAGATTGTAAGAAGGATGAGTAAATTACTGATTCACCTGGAGATGATGTTTGGGGCCATGGACAATATGGAGGGAGGAGGTAAATGGGCCAGGATGACACCACAATGGAAAGGTGCCATGGGAGGGGAATGAAGGATTGGAAGTGATAGGGGTATGGACCAGAGGGAACAGCTTCTTAGAATTCTGACAGAAGAGGAGAAGGGAATATGTGTTTGGTGGTGGCATCATGCTGGATGTGGTGGAAATGGCAGAGGATAATGCCAGATGGTGGATAATGAAGACAAGAGGAACCCTATTGTGATCTGGGAAGGGAAGGGATAAGGGCAGATTACTGGAAATGGGTTGGACACAGTTGACAGCCCTTTCTACCATAGTCAGTTTGAGGGGGTGGGGAGGAGTTTGACGAGGTACCTCATGGCGGATTGGTACCAAAGGTGAAGTTACATGGTGTCAGGTGTGAGCTGACAAGATGGATACAGAGATAGTAGGAATCGCAGATGCTGGAGAATCTGAGACAACAAGGCGTAGAGCTGGATGAACACAGCAGGCCAAGCAGCATCATAGGAGCAGGAAGG